CTCTCACATTCTGCATTTTCAAGCCCGCTCTCAAGTTTCAAGTGCAAAGTGCCGCTCGACAACATTTGAGTGTAAGGTAGGTTATGTCCTGACAAAAAGCGAGCTCCCGTACCGCTTGACAACATTCCAACCCTGTATCTGCACCTTGGCCTCGATGCATCTCACTGGAATCATGTTCAGAGATTCGTCGAAAAAGTCAGGCCAAGAAAAAGACGATACAAGTAAGTATTGCATTGGTAAGATATCTCTAAAGTGTAGACAATGAAAAGCAGTAGCACTGAATTCTTGTCTATAGCGAATGGGAGTCGGTTTACCTTTTTTTTCTGCAGTTTCTCGACTATGTTCTCCAGTAGTAATCCTATAATATTCTTCCTCTTCTGCACATAAGTGTTCTGATTATGTGGGATGTGGGGCACCGACTGCTCGCAGACCTCCCCACTACCACTGCCGGTGTTCCCCAGCCGGCAATGCCTGCCCATCCCGGGCGCTGCTACAGCTTCGCTCTCACACCACCACTGTGGTGCAAGCTCCTCCCCAGGCATGCCCATTTTGAAGACAAAGCTCACCCTGTTTTTTCGTTGTTCACTGCCGATGCACTCGTCCCCCGCCTCCGCCTGTCTGTCATGGTTGTAGCGTTGAGACGGTTCGAACTTCGGTTGCTTTTGGTACTCTTCTTTGCCCATCCGTTGATCGCACCAATCTAGTTTTGCATTGCACTCTGGTTGTGGTTGTGCTTGTGCTTGTCATATTCCTGTAAAATCGAGAACCACTCTCCCGCCATGTGCGTTGTCCAAGACCCCTGTGCTATGTACCAAGGCTGCAAAAGTAGCATCTTTTGCAGTGCCTTGGTCGACACAAAACGACAAAAGCCGACGGTGGTATACGCTCAATAAAATCATTCTCAATTGCAGGCGGCCGTTCCTGCCTTCACCCTACAAAAAACTAACACGACTCAGGCCGGGCCTTACCTGCGACTGCAAACGTGCCCCGCCCGGGTGCTCTTAACTGCACCATGCCATGCCAGACTACAGCACATCGGGCAATGCCGCGTTCTCTGCCCTCGCTCCCTCCGGGCTGCGCTCCCGTGCCATGCGCGGTACACAGTAGAGATAGGCTTCTGGACCCACGACAGGTACCCTTCAACAGTCAGCCATCTGGATTACCCCACCTTAAGAGAGGCTACCCCCTTCCCAACCTCACGACTATTCTCCCTGGCACATCCCCTACTTCCTTGGCCGCACCTCAATAGAAGGACCATCATCCGACCCCCCGACCACGGGGAAAGGATGAGACTGAAGTTGTAGACACTGGTGCTAAGCAAGGTCCCCTTTATTTACCCTACCTAACCGCCTGTGGAAGCGTAGCCAAGGAAGCCCCGATACCCGGGGGCTCCGAGCGCCAGGTTATGACGCTGCCCCGACCCACGTATGCGCCCTTAATCTACCGCCAATGAGTAGACACTCTCCCTAGAGAGATCGTTTGGGGTATTCTGGCTGCATTTCCTCAAACAATGTCGTCGAAAATTTCCCGAGCAAACAATGCAGGCTCATAATGCAAATATTAAAAAAAAAAAAAAAAAAAAAAAAAAAAAAAAAAAAAAAAAAAAAAAAAAAAAAAAAAAAGATTAAAAAAGCACAATAAAGTTATAAAGTTAATATAAACCCCTATTTGGAGTAGCTTTTGAAGTTCTCCATCTTTTTCCCCGAATTTGGTGTTTTACTATTTTTCCAATCTTTTTCGTTCCTGCTCCAAATATGTCGAAAGTTCTCGAAACTGAATACAGATATCTGATATACCCTAAAAGCATATACATAAATAAAATCTGATATACTCTAAAGCATATACATACATAAATTAACACAAAAAAAAAAAAAAAAAAAAAAAAAAAGAGGCAAAAGTTCAGGGAAATATGGCAGTTTCAGTGGGAACTTCGCCGCAAATGACCCCACCTATTAACCATTAGTGTCGCCCTCCGGACCCCGGTCATCAGCTGCGTATTTTCCCCCCAAAGATGCCCATGCCTCGGTGCACAATGCGCCATTTATCTATCATCGGCAATGGACTGTTGCCCACCTATCAATAGACCTCGGTCTTCGGCTAGGTTCCTTCGCTAGGCATCAGAAGAGACTGAGTACGAACTCAGTAGGTGGTGGGCCATGATCCGTCCTTCCGCCTAGCGCGCAGCCTCTCCCTCTCCCTCTCCCTCCCGCATGTATGTAATAACCACCACCGAACAATATAGACCCCCCAGACCACTTGTATGCAGCTGTATGGTTCTATATGGTCGTATATATGGTTGTAATACATGGTTTCCCCCAGAGCTGCTAATGGGGGAAGCCATGTATTACAACCATATTACAACCATATAATGGTTGTAATACATGGTTTCCCCCCCAGCTGTATAATGGTTGTAATACATGGTTTGCCCTTACTGGCCACAAAATAGTGGCCTGCAAGCAGGCATGCATGATATACCCATGTTTCCCATCAGTATCCCACTCTGGGGGGGCGCAGTTAAACCAGCAGTACTTGGCCCATACATGGGGCGCGGGCGTTCCCCGTTAACGCGGCGCGGTTCTGGGAGATCCCCGTTAACGCGGCGCGGTTTTGGGGGCTCGGGGAAGGCCCAGCAGTGCAATGGAGGAGGACGTGCGTGGGCCCACAAAAAACAGGGGCAAATGGACTGTAAGGTGTCCTGGTGCTGTGCTATGTGGAGACGTTCGGAGGCTGAAGGCGATGAGGGGGGAAAGAGAAGAAAAGGAACTGCAACAGGGACGTGGTCCCTAAAAAAAAAAAAAAAAAAAAAAGGATCAGATCGAATGCCTGAATCTGGACGTAATAGTGGAGAGGGGCAGGAAATCGAGATTGAACTGCTTTTCTGCACCTCTACATAAAACACATCCAGATTCAGGAGCTCGATCCTATCCTTTTTGCTACTGGGACCTCGGCCCAGGAGAAGGGGGGAAAAAAACATATCGTTGCTTTTCTTTCTTTTTTTTTTTTTTGGGAAGAAAACTGGTTTTTCACGAGTGCCCGCCAGCCCTGTAAGGTTAGCACTTTTTAGAATGTATCCGGCTGTACTTGTGGGCACAGTGGATGAATCTGAGGGCTTGGTATCTCTTTTGCCCTTTTTTTTTTTTTTTTTTTTTTTTTTTTTTTTTTTTTTTTTTTTTTTTTTTAAATAGCATAGTTTCATTAGAAGGGCAAAAGGAGGCGGGGGCCGAGGTCCCACCTGTCTCTTATACACATCTAGATGTGTATAAGTAGTATCATTAGAAGGGCAAAAGGAGGCGGGGGCCGAGGTCCCACTAGCAAAGAGGATCGGATCAAATGCCTGAATCTGAATGTGTGTTTATGCAGAGATGCAGAAAAGCAGTTCAATCTCGATTTCCTGCACCTGTTTACAAATACGTCCAGAATCAGACATTCGATCCGATCCTCTTTGCTAGTGGGACCACGCCCCGGGAACCCCTCCACATCTCAACCCGGAAAGGAGAACCAAGCCTCGGAGAGGCTAACTGGAAACCCGGTCCAGTGTCCCATACTCCTGTCAACAGTCTGCTATTTCTGAAAAACTGGAGAAAATCAGACAAATAAAACCTAAACCGAAAGACGCAAAGGAACGAGCTATCTCACTACCCATTCTCCTATAGACATTCATATCCGGGAGCATTACCCGGCTTCGCTTCACGGGAGTCTATCTACGACAGACTCACCAAGTTCTCCTGTGGCCTTCCATCTGCTCTCTGCATTGGTTCCCAAGTTCAATCACCAAAAGGAAGAAATCTATCTAGCCAAGCACTGGGGTTTGCCTATGTCGGCTCCCCGGTGTCTCCGCTGGTCCGGCCCTCAACCACGGGCCAATTTCCAGCTTTGACTCTGCTGTAACTTTTGTCAGACGACTGTCCACTGCCCAGGTACTCGAGAACCACATTAACCCTTTTTCCTGCCACTCTGCTCTACTAATCTGTCTTATCTTCAGTTTCGCCATGTTCTGAGCCTGTTCATCTGCTCTACTAATCTGTCTTATGACTCTTATCTTCAGTTTCACCATGTTCTGAGCCTGTTCCGCTGACCAAAGTTCCCCTCTGAAGAGTGCATCGTTTCTTCCCTGCCATTTTTTTTTTTTTTTTTTTTTTTGAAAAGCGCCGGGAACCGGGCCCGGCGTCCCTTATATTTCAACAAAAAGCCACGAAACGAGCCTGGCATCCCTTACAAAAGATAAGTGGCCCCTTCAAAGGGAGATGTCAGTTGACCGGGCCACAGTGTTTCAGCAAACCCTAAGACCCGTCAAGCCTTTGTCCACAACAGAATAGTAGCAAATCACCATCACCCCCATCCCCATCCCCACACCTACGAAGTCCTATTATCTATATCCCAAAATCTAATTACATAACCTATTTTCTTTAGGCTACCAAGCTCGTCATTCAAAACAGACACTATTTCTTATTTTTCATCGTTCGAAACAAACACTATTTCTACACACAAACAAAATTACAGGAGATATCAGATACAACACTATTAAATTCTACAATCATTCAAAACGAAAATCCTATTGTATACCTTTCTCGGCCTTTTGGCTAAGTAAGATCACGTGTAATATCTGTTCTGATCAGTTTAATATCTGATCCGTGGTCCATCGGACCAAAAAAAAAAAAAAAAAAAAAAAAAATTCCTATTGTCTCCAAGAATTAGAAACAGCTGCAGACGTAGAGGAAACAACAACAACAATTTGGCCAACAAAACTATCATTAATTGAAAAAAAAAAACAACCTGGAAAACCCTAGTGTGAACATAGTTCCTATTGTCCACAAGAGAAGCACAGGAGGCAACCACGTAGAAGGAGCCCCACGTTCAACAACAATTACTAGGAGATCACAATTCCCTTTTTTTATCTTTTTTTTTTCACATAAAAACCATCTTCCGATCCTCCCATCCTCTTCTTATAGATAAAATCCATTTCAGCAGGTTCGAATTTGTTGACGTCACGGGATATACTTCAGACAAAACTGCATTTGTTGAGCTCACAAATGCATCACACTGCACGCTGATTGCCCACAGGACACAGGAGATAACCGGCTGAGACCCCCTCACATTATGCCGCTGTCTCTCCTTCCCCCCAGTCCTCCTCCTCCTCCGTTCCCCCCCACTCGTGCTCGTTAATCGTCATCTCATAGTCAGATCCAGCGAGCCAGCCAGCCAGCCAGCCAGCCAGCCAGCAGGTACTTATACTTGTATATATATTTGTATATATATATTCTCATATTCTTCATATCATATCATACATTGTCACAGGAATATCAGAGCGCATATATATTCATATCTGATGAGTACATATCATAGAGATCTTGTTTTAAGCCTACTTAGCTCAGAGGACAGAGCGTTGCACTTGTAATGCAATGGTCATCGGTTCGACTCCGATAGTAGGCCACGACGGGGGTTCGAATCCGCATTCTGCCTCCCTCCTTTTCCCCCGCTCCTGCTGGTCATTCGACATCTTCAAAGATGGATCCCACCATCTCCTGCTGGTTAACCGCCATCTCAAAAATAAATTCAGCGACCACCCCAGCCAGCCAGCCAGCCAGCCAGCCAGCAGGTAATTAAACTGCACGACGGGAGTTCAAATCCGCATTCCGCCTCCTTTTCCCCCCACTCCTGCTTGCTAATCGCCGTCTTCGAAGATAGGTCCAGCGAGCCAGCCAGGAGGTAATTAAACTGCACGACGGGCGTTCGAATCCTCAAAAACGAATAGCCAGAGAAGTCCTTCCCGAGCAACCACATTCAGTTTCATCCTCGCCGTCTTCTCCCTCAGCTTCTGCCATCCTCGTTATTATGCCTGTTCCTTGACATCTAGATGTCGGTGACATGGAGACCTGGAGGAAGCGACTGCTTAAGCTTGTCCGCTTTGTCGGTTTCCGTTAACACAAAGCTTTGTCGGTATCCGTTACACACAGAGCTTTGTCGGTATCCGTTCCGTAACACACAGAGCTTTGTCGGTATCCGTTACACACAGAGCTTTGTCGGTATCCGTTCCGTTACACACAGAGCTTTGTCGGTATCCGTTACACTTGCGACATGACGGATCTTAACGGATCTTGACGGATCTCTTGACGGATCTTGACGGATCTTGACGGATCTCTTGACGGATCTTGACGGATCTTGCATCCTTGCACCGTGAGGTTAGCAGGAAATCCTTAATCTCATGAATGTGCTTCGGCATGGCTGCTGATGTCGATACAAGCCGCCTAGTGGAACGAAGACGAGAACGAGGAGGGGGAATGAGTGTCAATGGCGGATGCGAAAAGGAGGAGATCACAATTCCTATTATCTACAAAGAATAGAAACAGCAGCAAACAAACGTAGACGAAACTATAGTTTCGCCAACAAACAGTAACAAGTTGTTATTTCTATCATCAATTGAAAACAAAATTACAGAAGGCAGCAGTGACTCAGGCAACCGAGAGAACCCTAAGAACATAGTAGTTCCTATTCACAGGAGACAGCGGACGCAAGAAACCCCAATTAAACAACAATCAATCTATTAGCGAATCACTATTTTTTCTATCACCATTCTATCACCAAACCTATTGAATCACTGTAATCACAGTCGTCAGGGGTATCCAGCTGTGTCGCAAGCGAATCACTATTTTTTCTATCACCATTCTATCACCAAACCTATTGAATCACTGTAATCACAGTCGTCAGGGGTATCCAGCTGTGTCGCAGGTGAAACCCTTCACACTCGACCGCTCTCACAGATTTTCGCCGTAGGCCGCCCATGATTGCTCATAGGCAGGATATTCCCAATGATTGCTCATAGGCCGCCCATGCTCATAGGCCGCCCATGATTGCTCATAGGCCGCCCATGATTGCTCATAGGCAGGATATTCCTACGACACCTCCATATCAAAGACCAAACCTCAGTCCTCAATCGGTTCCATCAGGTGTGAATCAGTAGAAAACCAGCTGAAACTCTGGCAAATCGCAATAATCGGATCCCACCCGTCGAACATCCACACATCTACCGCCATCCATCCTTCCTCGCTCGATCAGGATTGCTAACCCTGTCAGATGGGACTGGCCCATGGCAAGGGCTCTTTAGACCCTCTCGCTGCGTGTCCCACAGTGCCCACACACTCTATCCCCCACACTCCCGCCACCCCAGCAACGAGCTCTGGCTAGGCACCACCGTCATCTTGATAGCACCCGTGCTATCCCCCATTGCCCAAGCAAGCACTGCCCCCGACGGCGGCACAGCGACATCTTCAAAAATTCCAAGCGGAAAAAAAAAAAAAAAAAAAATCCAAGCCCGGCGCCAAGAGCTAACGCAGCGTTAACGCGGGCGGCGTCCCTGCCAAATTACTTCTCCCTTTTTTTTTTGTTTTTTGTTTTTTTTGTTTGTTTCTGTTTTTGTTTTTTTGTCTTTTTGGAATCCCGTCTGAGAGACGGGGAGCATTCAATGCGTGCCAACCGTTTCAATTCCAGGGCTTCACTGTGACGTAGCACTTTCCAGAATGTATCTGGCTGCACTTCGCTGCAGCAGCGGCGGATGTATCTGAGGGCAATGGCTTTCAGAGCTTGGTACCTTCTTTCCCCTTTGTTCTTTTTTGGTTTTTTTTTTTTCCTTTTCAAGATTCTCGGCTGTTTGTGATTCTGCTCTCCCCAGAGGCGGGGAGCATTCAACGAGATCTTTTTTTTTTTTTTTTTGGCAAGGCAAAACCAAGCAATTGAATTGATAAGCGTAGTAAATAGCGCAGTACATACTGCATACCATACATGCAAGCGCACGTCGTGCGGGCGGTTCCCTACGTGCGTGCGCCGCCCCAAACCGATCCCGTGCGGAGAACGACCCGTCACCCCCCTCAGAAAAAAAATAAAAGGCCGGGGTCGAAACGGTGCGCTTAAGCCCCCCCGCCAAAATTATAAGCGAGATGAAAAAAAAAATCACAGTACTGCCTCACCTTGCTCCTCCTCCCCTTCCTCATCCTCCATGTCTCCTCCTCCCTTCTCCTTTTCGTCTCCTCCTCCTCCTCCTCCTCCTCCTCCTCCTGCCCTTCCTCATCCTCCTTGTCTCCTCCTCCTCCCATGCCTCCTCGTCTCCTTCCCTTCCTCATGTCCTCCCCTTCCTCGCCGTCCATGTCTTTTCCTCCCACTCATCCTCCTGTTTTCCCTCCGTCCATCTCTTCTCCTCCCCCATCTCGACTCCTCCTCGTCGTCCTCGCTATCCTCGTCGTCCTCCTTGTCCCCATCCTCCTCCTCCTCTCCATATCCCCCTCTCCTTGCCATATCCCCATCTTCCTGTCATCCGCCCCCCCTTTCCCCCTTCCCCCCCAAAAAAATAATAATAATAATAAAAATAAACACCTGCAGGATTCCGCACAGGCACCCCCCGCACGGAACTCCCTACAGAACTCCGCGCGAATGTGCGGCTCGCGCTGTTGGAAGTATGCTGCACTGCATACATAGTGTACGGTTCGCCCCATGCTCTGTATTCTCTTGAAATTGCCACACACACACACACACACACACACACACACACACACACACACACACAGGGCAGGGCAAGGCAACAAGCAAGCAATTGAATTGATAAACATAGTAAACAGCGCACTCCATGGGAGAAGAGGAGGAGGCAGGTACTATGAGAGCACAAAAGGGACATGAGAGTATACGAAACCGAAGCTCCAGTGCACCTTTCTCGGGATGGATGAATGTGGATGGGTTTCTTCCATTTGGTTCATTAATAACAAGCCGGTGGGAAACAGTTGTCACCACCATACCGGAACTTAATATTAACAGTGCTGAAATTCCGCTAATGTCATAAGCCCAGTGATTACGCCCTTCTGCTGACATGAAGTGGTCCATAAGAGACAGGAGTTTGTGACGTCAAGGTCGTTCGTGCAGGTGATGATCCTGACGAAGACACCGCCATTACCGCCACAGGAGTTGCCGGAGGTGATCGCCGCCCGAACCCCGATGAAAAGCGCCAGCTCAAGCGTGTGAAGATCGGAACAAAAACCAAGTACAAAATGCATACCACGAAAGGAGATGCAACAGCCCACCCTAGGATCGCATGAAGCACTCCGTGAAGCAGCTTGGAGGACCCATGACCAGTAATGGCATCAAAGAGGGCTTTCGGCGCAATATCCAAGGGCTCCGCTCCGACCAACTTTTCACCAAAGCGCATGAATGGAATCACGAGGCTTAACTCTACAGGGGTAGCGATGAAATTTGCCAACATCATTGTGGGCAGATTACAACTGGATTGCAAAAGGAGGGCCAATCCAGCGCAAAGGACAGCAGTGGCACCGTAGATCGGAAAAATGCCCATCGTGAATCCCAACGCTGCGGATAGTGAAATCTGCTTTGGCTCTGCTCCCCGACTCAAGATGGAGACAAGGGGATCGATGACACGCGACCGGAACCAGCGGACAACCCCCCACCTCGTCCAGGAGCTTCCCCCCATCGCCCCCGTTCTAGATGCCGTTGAGGTAGTTGGAGATGGAGGTCCAGACTGCTTCCACGTGGCATCTCCTGCCATCAGCGGAACTGTCGACATCGCGACCGACAATTCGCTGCTTGGTCCGTTCCTAAACCGATTGCTCAGTATCTATTTCCTTATTCGATTGATTGATTGATTGATCGGTTAATTGGTGGGTTGATTAGTTGGTTCTCGTCTGCTTGATTGCGAGACTCATTTCTTGCTTCACTGATTGATTGATGAATTGATCGATCGCAGATCCCGCCCCACCCTCTCCCCACGCCACCCCACCCTACCCCCGTTTCTACTGGCGTGTGTGCACGCAATCCCCGCGCGGGAGCAGATCCCGCCCCACCCTCTCCCCAGGCCACCCCACCCTACCCCCGTTTCTACTGCCGTGTGTGCACGCAATCCCCGCGCGGGAAGAACCACGTGTCAAGACGTCAGTCACTGAAGGACCTGCACAAACCTGCTACCTTTCCTAATTAGCCTAGCTCTGAATCCGTCCTCCGCACCTACCGTAATAATGCAATCAATTCCGTTTCCTCCCCAAAATAATCGTGAATTAATGCAGCAATAAATCCAGTCTTCACAAACCTCATCTACATTACGGCTATGCCATCAATTCCGCCTTTCCAAGCTCACGTTAATTAATTAATGCACCCTCCGCTAATTAAAAAAAAAAAAAACAGCGCAGTCAATCAAAAAAAAAAAAAAAAAAAAAAAATCAGCGAAGTTAATTACCGTAATGGGTTCCGCCTTTCTATCTAGAACTAACATTGAAAAAAAAATGACGCAATCAACTCGATTCAGTTGACGATCGTCTTAAGTCCTTTTTTCCCATCCGATCACGACTGTGGCCAATTGAGAAACAGAGACATGACGAATCAGGAGCAGAAACATCAACACCCATCACCTCCCATCACCTCCCTCTCCTAATCGCCTCGATCCACAAGTCGACGCCCTCCTCCTTTCCCCACCCCTCGCCTTTAATAGCCCTACCTTGTTTCCCGCAGTAGTTCAAGATACGGCACGTACTACGAGAACCAACCTATCAACCGACAGGTTAGCTAATCAAGCCAATCAATCAATCAAACAATCAATCACTAAATCAATCAATCAAACAATCAATCACTAAATTAATCAATCAAACAATCAATCACTAAATCAAACAATCAAACAATCAATCACTAAATCAATCAATCAAACAATCAATCACTAAATCAACCAATCAACATTTGTAGCTCACCAATTTATCGTCTTCTACCATTCAGACGAGCTGATGAACTTCAACGAGATCTTTCCAGATGGATCTGGATGCACTTCTGCCCAGCCCATTTTCATGTACACGAGTGGAAACAAGAGAACTATCGCCGCTTTGCATTCCAGCTGCTGCCAGCAGGTCCAGAATAAGGAGGGCAGTACCTGTGCCAAGCATCAAACGTCCCATGTTGTTGGTTCCCGCCCCTGGCAGGCTCGCCAAAAATCGGCGCGCAGGGCATATTCAGGCTCGGCTTCAATAGTTGGGCCAAGTACCGGTTCCCCAGGGCAGTCAATGCAGGTGGGGTAAGATCTGCTTTATGTTCGAAAGGCACAGGACGTGCGATGATGTACGTATCAACGGCCGTTGGGCACGATTTCCAGCAGGCGTTGCTCCCACCAATAGCTGGAGGCAGCGCGATGGACAACGACTACCGGTAGATTCCGGTGGTTCTTGTACCACCACCGGGGTGCCAGCGTTGCACACGCGCTTGTAATATGGGTGGTATCGTTTGTATAGATTGACCTACTACCTCAGGCAAACCACTACCTCAGGCAAACCCTCCTTGACCTCCCCCAGAGCAGAAGGGGCAAACCACTACCGGTAGTACCTTTGCCGCTTGGGAAAATAGCGGGCCTCCGGTAGGCGTCCGACCTTTGCAGAGGCCGAAACGAAATGACGGCCAATGGCAGTCGCCATCGGGCCCGACCTCCGAAAATTTTTCCCACGCGGGAAAGGTAGTAGTGGTTAAAGAAAAGAAAAAAAAAAAATTGTAATCTATGTTACCAGAGTGGCCCTGTGAAAAAAAAATAATGCCAGTGTGTGGACAGATTTATCTTCCGGGTTCTCAACGCAGTCTCCTGAATCGTTAGATTTCACATACCTGGCAAGCAAGCCACCAAACACCCTGACGGAAAAAATGCACGATTGATTGATTGCTCCCGGTGGAGAAATTTATTATGTAGGAACCAGCAGTCCATCTGAAGCTAAGTTGACGAACCACTTTTGAAAGGAAAAAATAATGACGGCCCTAAGGCTGCGGTATAGTGGGCTTCGGCATCTGCGTCAAGGTGTCGCATTTTCGGCGGCGGGCGACCAGGACGCAAAGTGGGTTTTAAGGGGGCGAAAGTTTGGGGGGGACCGGTCCTTGGAAAAATTGGGGACTACCTACAGGCAGCTCTGGAATGACCGGGCCTTTTGGAAAAAGCAAGGACCGGTCCTCGGGTTGAAGCCGACCCCTAAAAGGA